TTCAATCATTCGCTTAAAAGAGGTCCTCAAATGTTGCTTCTATGTCTCTTTTCTCTTTTACTTTTGCCTTCTTCTAGTGACTTATAATTTAAAATTGTTTCCCTAGACTTTGCTTGGCTTTTTTCTTGTTCAGTGCATCGTCGCCAGATTGTACCTATTTTGTTCAGCAAATTGCACCTATTTTGTTTGTGGGGAGGTTTACGCCTCAAAACGTTTTGAGGCTTACGCCTCGCCTCACGACAAAAAAAGGCCTCAATACCCGTTTACGTTTTTTCAAACTATGTGGTGGGCAAAAGAATTATTTATGTAAATTCCAAATTTAGATTATATCGTTACTTTTCAGTATGCAAATTTTTGTAACTCAGACAAATGTTCAAACCAACTAACCAAACCAAATTGATTTGGTTTGGTTTCAACAGCTGAATTGGGTCGATTTGGGTGGGAATTTACCCAAACCGACCAAGTCGATTTCGGTTTCGAGTTGAGCTCAAAACCAACCAACTCGAACAATATCCAGGACTGCAAGAAAAAATCCACTTGATTAAACACCAGTTAATTAAATCAAAGTGACCAAAAGTTCAAAGGCAAGTTCAACTTATGCTACAAAAGCAGTTGAGGGGCACAATAAAGCAGGCACTGCAAAGAACACAGATACTATTCTCATTAAAAAAAAACTAAAAGAAGAAATTTTAGTTGGCTATAGAAAGAAACAAAGGTAAATGGACTCACATTCTGCCAGTTCTTCAACAGCGAAACTAGAAAGTTCAAGCTCATCTGCACATTTTGGAAGATCTGCTTCTCTTCCATATCCAAATTTCCGACTGCAACTCCCATGCAAAGCACCTTCTTCAATTGGAATCTCACTGTGGCTTTGGTCTCGTTGACCTTGGATTCAAGAGATTCCTGGTGACTCACAAGAGTAGGGAACTTCCCTGCATTACGATGTGAAAAGAATTAGACATGGCGAGCACGGTTTAAAAAATTCCAAAACGTAAGAAAGACATTTTTTAATGAAAATTACCACAAACGCTGGGTAATTTCTAACAGTAAAACTGCAAATTACTAGGATATCTCACCCAGAAACACCATTATTATTTTAACAGATCCTCAATAACTCAAACCACAACACACACAAAAAAAAAAAAAAAACTTGCCTGCCTTGTTAAGACCAGGCCCCAAAAGATGGGGAATCTGCTTGATAACAGCTTCTGAGGCTAAGAAAGCATGATATTTCTTTGCAAGCTTCTTCACCAATTTCTTGTTTTTGTTTAACTTCTTCAGACCCTCCACATCCATGTATTCTAGACCCATTTCTTCTGCCTGCACACGATAGAAAATAAGTTGCATTAGATAAACTAGAGTAGGAGACATGCAACATGCCAACATTTGAAACAGCTTCGCTACTACAGATGCATGTGATGGAAACTAAATAGCATCTAACAAGCAAAACAACTCTTATTATGCTTTTAGTATGTCACAGAGATCTCGGCCAACCAAGCAAAAAAGGAATGAACATATAAGGCTCTTGAATTTTACCAGAACCACTACCTAGATTGAAAAAAAATGAGGATAGATTGGGTTCTACCAACTCCTCTATGTAGCTCTTACAGAGATTGGCTTTATGTACATTCTCTTGTGGTACTAGTACAGATTCTAGCATTATATAGGATGTCTGCATTATGGAGAACCAAAAAACTACCGGATACCCAAGTCACAAGAGAAAATAGGACACAAATAAGAGCTACTCCAACTACTCCAGAGACGCACATGTACTGTTGTTATTATCTCATAATAAAGGAGGCGATTCTCCCAAACCATGACTGTATACAGGCATTAAGCAATACATTTTATTCACATGCATCTGTCATATTGCAATTTTGCACAATGAAAAGCTACTGGGATTAAGTGGTTTATGAAAAACAGCTCAGAATCTTAGCTCATTTTATAAACAAGTCAAATAAGGAAATAAGGAAGACTATTAATTGCCAACATTTTGTGATATTCTAATCTTCCTCGGCTAAGTAACTGGGATTGCAAGAGTACCTCTTCGACTGAATCTGAAGCTCAATTGTCTCGGTAAAGTTATGCTTCTTCTCCTTGGCATCAATAACAATTTGGGCAATAGCTTCCCTCGGGGCTTCGCTCTGAAGCTTACTGCAGAACAGTATTTACCAAACAATATCAGCAAAAAGATATATTCTGGTCAGATAATAACTGTTAACACAGGCAGCCTGAATTTTAACTTTGTCATTCAAGTAAAAATTGCACATTTGAATTCAAATGAGAAAAATTTACATAACATCTTCTATATATTAAAAGTGGCTATGTAACGGAATTTCTTGTTTTTAACGGCAAAATTAACGGAATTTGTTGTTTTAACGGATTATGTAATGGAATTTCTTGTTTTAAACAGGCAGCTGCACCATTTTTCAGTATTTTTATAATAACATTGTATTCAGATATCCGATTGAGG